AATGAAAAGTTGTTCTGCAATTGTGTACAATGAATAAAAATGCATTCTGCTGTCATATATACATAATTTAAATAAATAAATTTTTAATATTTATTTTTCAGCTTTTCAGTGGACACAACATTTTTTTATTTTTATGTGGTGCTGAGGATGGAACCTAGCGCCCTGTGCATGCCAGGCTTGAGCCACATCCCCAGCCCTAAATAATTTTTTTTTAAATATAGTATTTAATTGACTGCTAAACTCAAAGACTACCTTGAGATTATAGACTAGAGAGGTGACTGGACTTCTTGAAATTAAACTTTGGCAAGGCCATAATAGAAGTATTGTTTTATTTTTGTTTCATGGATCATTTTGTCATAGAAATGGAATGAGATGACTGTGGTGGGGCATACCCATAATCCCAGCAGCTCACTAGGATCATAAGTTCAAAGCCAGCCTCAGCAATTTAGCAAGGCCCTGAACAACTTAGCAAGACCCTGTCACAAAATTAAAAATTAAAAGGACTGGAGATGTGGCTCAGGGGTAAAGCCTGCTGGGGCTCAATCCCTAGTACAAATGAATAAATAAGAAAAAAGAAATGAAAATTCATTATATAAAATATGAAAGCAAGCTTGTTTAAAAGATTCTTTAATATCTTTATTTATCTTATTTATTTTTATGTGGTACTGAGGATCGAACCCAGTGCCTCACATGTGCGAGGAAAGCGCTCTGCCATTGAGCTATAACCCCAGCCCCTGAAAGCAAGCTTTAAAGTCACATTGCAAAGTGCCTTTTCTGAATGTTGAAATTAACCATTGGTCTGCTCGATTTTGTAGAGAAGCTGTGACGGAACTGGAGCTATGTACTTCATAGGATGTGGCTATAATGCCTTTCCTGTTGGATCTGAGTATGCTGACTTCCCACATATGGATGACAAACAGAAAGACAGAGAAATAAGGAAATTCAGATACATCATACATGCTGAACAAAATGCCTTGACATTTAGGTAGGAAAATTTTTTTATTGTGCCTTTAAAATGTAGCAAAGGTCAGTTGAAATAAGTTTTCTTTTAGTTGTGACTTATTTCCATTTTCAAATTCTAGAAAATCTTCTTTCCAGAAATATAGTTTTGGTAAAGATTGGTCCTGCTGGACCTGAGGCCATTTTGCCAGATTCTCCAGGCCTTCCAATTTATTGAGCAAGTCTTGTTTTTCTTCCCTCTCTCTAATAAGAAGTGACTTAAAATTTGTCCTTAATATTTGTCCAAAATACAACCTCTTGTTTTCTCCTTTGTTTTCTAAATTTTGAGTACATAGATTTATGATTGTGTAGACTTTATGATGAACCAAATTGCTTTGAAAAATGTTAGAAATAACAACTATCATCATCTCCTTTTAATGTTCATTTAGGTGATTTCCACAATCACTTGTCAGCTTTTACCATTAAGGGGGTGAGTTTAGGAGATTAAAAACTGAATAAGACATGGCCCCTGTCACTGGGGAGCTTCTAATGCAGTAAGCGTTAAGATCTAAGATGCATACACTTAATGCAATGGATTCTGTGGGAAAGGCAAACAGTGCACAAAGTGCTCTGGGGCTGCTATGAACAAAAACAGGGATGTAAGTGAAAAGCTGTGTGGAAGAAGTCGAGCTTCTCATTAGAGCTGAGCTCTGAATGATTGCCAGGAGATATTCCTTGAAAGGAAGACTTTTCTTGCTTCCAACACAAGGTATGGTCTAGAAGTGGAAAAATGCATTCCACATTTAGGAACATGCATATTCCTGTTAGGCTGGAGTGTGGGTTTATGGTAAATGCAGCTCACAGGATAAGCTGGGCCTGGACAACAGAGGACTTCAAGTTTAGACTCCACTTGGTAGGCAGTCGGGAAATGGAATTGCACCGACAGCCACAGTCCATAGACTGCTTAGGTGGCAGAAGCATCGTTTGAGCAGACTAGATGTGTAGAATTCTGTTGCCCTAGTCCAGATGAACAGAAATGAGTTTCAACTAGGGAGATGAATATGGAAGATGTATAATTGAAAACAGCTGGTTCAGAGCAATGTAAACCATAGAACCTGGAATTACAATCCCTGTGACCTCAGGTGAGAGCAGTTCTTGGTCCTAGACTACCCCCAGCATACAGTTTCACCAAAAATCTCCTCAAGTTTTTTTTCCTGTCCTCTTCATTACAGGTTACTTGCTTCATTTTATATGGAGGTCTGAAGATGACATAGCCTTTTTTTTTTTTTTTTGTACCAGGGATTAAGTGCCCAGGGACACTTATTCACTGAGCCACATCCTTAGCTCTTTTTATTTTTTATTTTGAGACATGGTCTCGCTTGGTTACTTGCTAAATTGCTGAGGCTGACTTTGAACTCAAAATCCTCCTGCCTCAATCTACAAGCCACTAGGATTACAGGCATGCACCACACTGGGCTCCAAATGTTTTTTTTAAATAGAATTAACCTTTGATAGAGAAGGGGGTAAGAGAACTATAACTTAAAACAGAAATTTAATATTAATTTATTTATTTAGTAAGTATTTACTAAGGGTCCTTTAGGTGCCAGTTAGGAATAGGGGGCTAGGTCTTTAAGCTGCCTTGATGATTTAATATTTAATAAATAATAGTTTTAACCCCAATTTCCATATTTTAAAGAGATCCTTATGTAGAAAATGTGGTTTTCCTTTTTTTTTGGTTTTGTAGTTCTGGGGATCAAACCCAGGGCTCCAAGAGTGCTAGGCAACCACTCTACCACTGAGCTACATCCTCCGCTTTCTTTTTTCTTTTTCTCTCTTTTTTTATCCTCTCTTTTCTCCATTCTATTCCCTCCCTTCCTCTCCTCCCTCCTTCTTTTTCTGTTTTTATTTATTTTATTTATTTTATATTGAACACCTTGCCAACAGCTTAAATGAATTTAAGTTATAGTGATTGTCAGGTTTTTACAGATTTTGAACATTGATTGACTAATTTAACAAGAGTAAGGCTTGATTATTGTTTATAATGTGAATCTATTTTTAAAACAACTCATCATTAAAATTTAAGAATTTCTCTTTAAGAAATAACTTACCCTTTCAGAAATTACCTTTGTAATAATCTGTAAATTTTTTTGTAGGTGTCAAAAAATAAAACCAGAAGAAAGAAGCATGATTTTTGTGACAAAATGCCCATGTGATGAATGTGTACCTTTAATTAAAGGTGCTGGCATAAAACAAATCTATGCAGGGGATGTAGATGTTGGAAAAAAGAAGGCAGACATCTCTTACATGAGGTTTGGGGAACTTGAGGGTGTTAGCAAATTTACCGTAAGTAGATAGATACACTTTTTCTTCAAACTGTATTTCCTGTTATGTTGTTTGATACCCTGTTGTGTATTGTAAATTAGTGATTTCTATCCTTTTAAAGAGTTT